CCTAGTGAAAGATACAGGCGTAAAATTGCGCGAGAAACTGTTTGTTGTTGTTAATAACCTCTGGTAATCTAATTAACAAAACTTGCTTTGATTGGCTACTATTTACCGGATATTCAATTATCTCAAAGGAGGCGTATTAAAAAAATATCAACAAAAGTCGCAGGCTCTATATAATAGAGCCTGTGAGCAGGCTAAGAAATGGCCGAAGCGTTCTGTTTCTGTAAAAAAGTTTGGGTTTGCTACAAGATTGTTTGATGTTTTGATGAGAAGGTGAGTTGTACTGCAGTTCAATTGGCATAAACTTTACTTTGAAGTATAGATATTTTATACGGAAGTATCGAACATACAGTGTTTTATATAGTATATAAATAATAAATGCTTGTAAAATCAGTCAGTACGTTGTCCAATTTGTATTATGTCGTGTTTTAGTGTTAGATGGACCGACGGACTTAGTATGGAATTCTAGTTCTGTTGTCCAATCTTTCAACCATACCTGTATGTGTACTAAAAGTATCATTATGCATCAGTCAAATCCAAGCGTGCCCATCCCCCCCGGGCCACCCTGGGGCATTTTCCTGTAAAGCACGCCCCTGGGGTTGGGCATTTGAACTCAAACCTTCACCTGGGGGCGGGGCATTTGAATTTAAGAATTTGGAGGTTTTAAGATCACCGATAACTTGATAATAATATAAAACAGAACAATACCAGTTTCAGAATATTTCATAAATATAAACCAGTCAAGTTGCATGAATTTGAATCACGCCACAAGCATTAAAAATCTGAATGCGCTAGAGCATGATTATGTATTATGTATTATGAATTTATATATCCCCAAGCTTCTTTAATATGCATATTTTGTTTGGCATGCATATTATTAAAAATTATTGGATGAGGCTGAGCAGGATATCCAGAATTATTTAGGCCGAGGTCAATGTTATCTGCTGAAGGCTGAGGCAGATAACATTGACTGAGGTCTAAATAATTCTGGATATTCTGTGCAAGCCGAATTCAATAATTGTTTTACTATTCATTTTGTGACAGAAAGAAAACAAAACAAGCAACAATAATTGAAAACAAATAAATATTCATTGAGTTGATTAACTTTTTGTAAATTCAACTAAAAATTTCCTGCCAATTTGTATTTTCACATAAAATACCGCTGAAATATCTCGGGCTCCGTCCAATAACCTCTGCAGATTACTGTTTCCGCTGGAAATAGCGCAGGCACCTACAAATACCCAAAATTATTTGTAGGCTCTCGAGAACACAGTACAATGAATAATAATACATCTTATGTAATAACAGTTTAGCTAATTTTTAAATTGATTATTTATGGTATTTTTGACTTTTTTATTTGTTTGATGCCACAAGAAACAATTTTAACTTGTACATTTACTACACTGTTGATGAAAGGGTCTTAATTTAGTAGATCGACCTCCAGCCCTATATATAATTAGTGTCAATTTTGCAGATTGTAAATTATGATAATTGTGTTTTTAGCTGTAGTTACAATGGCTGAATCACTTCGATATAGAGTTGAGGAACATTTGACTTGCTCTGTTTGTTTGGAACCATTTAAAGATCCCAAAGTTTTACCTTGCCTTCATTCATATTGTCATGTCTGCATTGTAAACCTGGCCAAGAATGCAAATTCCCAAACTATCAACTGTCCCGAGTGTCGATTGACAGTAGAGGTGAGAAAAATGTACACTTAATGCGGTCTACTAATAATTTTACTCTTTCTAACACCAGACTATTTAACTAACCAGGATAGCTAGCACTGGCGCTCTGTTACATACATACCGCACAAGATATTATAGTCTTCAAAATTTTAATGTTCAATGTAAAAAACGGCGGTTTATAAAATTATTGACCATGCTCTCAACCATAATATCTCCGTCTCTGTTGAGTGATCACACTTTACTTTATATGAGCTATATTTACATAAATTTGAAAGTTTAAATTAAAACTATCACAACAATTAACCTAATTTCTAATGCGTATTGCCTACTATGCATGCATGATCGAACTACATAAATCCATAGGGCCTTTATTGTCCTTATCATCCTCACCCCGAATTAACGGCTACAAACTGTTAATTGCTATCAGGGCCGTCGCGAGCGGGGGTGTGTGGGGGGGTGCTTCACCCCCCCAATAATTTTTGCAAGTCGGCCCCAGTCGGCAAATTGCTTGGTTACTGTTAGGCAAATTGCGAAATCGGCATTCAGCAAATTGTAAAAGTTAAGAACGAAGGCGATAAATAAAGCAATAAATTTTGGATTTAAAATAATGGTTTGTGTGGCCTTATGTCAAAACCATTTAAATGTATTTCTATTTTCTAGTAATACTATTAGTCTTTTATTTGTCAAAAATCGATGTGAGGCTGAAATTTGAAACCCACGTTTCCGGGCATGTTCTTCGCTCGACTGCTCTTAAGGCCTGATTCTACGGGTGCTTTTTCTCGGCGAAATGCGAAATATTTCGCCTGTTTCTTTTGAATTGTGGGCAATCAAGTAGAAATAATTTATTCGAGTGGTCGCAATTCAAAAGAAACAGGCAAAATATTTCGCCGAGAAAGAGCGCCCGTGACCGTGGAATCAGACCATTATAGCGAAGGCTCTTTGTCAATTATGCGCGGTTCAAAACCCAAAAGAAAAAAAAGAAAACTTTAGTGTCTTGAATGTAATTTGATTTTTGACGACGATTACCGTATAAAGAGGCACGAGCAAACTTGTCATAAGGGAAACCGAGTGCGAGTAGCACATAAAGACGTACCAGCTAATCCGTTTGAGACTGCAAAACGGAGTCAAAGCCAAAGAGAATATTTTGAGTCGTCAGAGGCGCAAGATCCTCAAGAAGACTCCACATGCACATGAGAAGAAGACCAAGAGAAAGACGAGCCATAACATAAGAACGAACTTGTCTTCTTTAGTTCTTTAGCGAAATTACTGTTATAACTCTGATCAGCCTACAGTTTTTGAAAGACATACCGCATACAGCGATTGTATCGGTATCATCGGTTGCATATGATCATATCCGTTTTACTCGCTTTCTGACGCATAAAATTTAAACTCTTGGAAAATCGGGTCATACAAAAGCCCAGTAACACTATCTGGCACTAAGACTGCTCAAAATACAAAAAATATCATAAATTGTCTATTCGGCGCCTGGGGATAAAAAAGGTCAAATTCATCAAATTGCCATGAAAATATTGAAACAAAATATCAATGCAATCACATGCAGATACTTGGATAACTTTTCTGACTTTGCGGAGATGCGCGTCTGAACCACAGTCTAAGGCACTCGTTACTCAGACTATATGCACACGGTACCGTTTCCGAGCGTTTTTCGGTTTTTGGGTGTATAAATGTGTTAATTTCTGAAACTGAAAGTACCATTTTCACGTACGTTCTGTTCACACGAAAACGTGTGAAAACGACGTCAGGAAGCAAAAACGTTTCAAATAGTGAAAACGATGCCAAAAAGATTCGTTTTCTATGTCTGAAACGTTTGGTCGTTTTGGCACTTTGTTATTGTGTAAACAGAAAAGTGGAAGGCGAAAATGAAATTCTGTGTTTGAACTTTGGAAACGAAGACTATAAAGAACTAGTGCTTTGTCAGAAAATGCTGCGAGGAAAACGACTAATGTGAACAAGGCGCCTAAACGCTAAATTTGAAAACGGCACTGCAAAAACGCTCAAAAACGTGACCCGTGTGCACATAGTTTCAGTCTCGATTTAGGACTTATGAAAATACAGTATATATTATTTTAAATTTAAATCTTTTTCAGCTTTATATGTTTAATATAAATAAATTAAAATAATACTCCTATCTGAAAACAAACACACGAAAATAAAATAGTGCTCATCATTGAGCTGTGGTTGCAGTTATTGCAATTGTGTCTTTCGATTTCGTGACCTTATATTTGTTTGTTCTTAGAATGTCATATTTTATATATAAAGGAACCCGATTTCGTTTTAGCAACAACCCACGAACAGGCATCCATTTCAAAACAAGAGCCATATCGGTGTCCCTCAGTTACTAGCACACCAATAATCAATATGATTCTCATTACATATATCTAACCTTTACCAACGTTTGAAAAACTCGGCAAATTCAACTAGCGTCACTCGGCAATTTGACTTTCGACACCCTCCCAATCCATATCCCTTCGCAACGGCCCTGATTGCTATTAACTAATTGTGCCAAATTAACGTTTTTCAACACGCAAAGTTTCATAATTGGTCTAGTAAGATCAGTTCTACTTGATCTAACGACTGCTGATCGCACTTTACCATCTTTTCCGAGATGAACTTCCACTACTCGAGCCAACAGCCATTGTCCTCTGGGAGCATTTTCTTTTACAATCAGTACCACGTCGTTCTCTTTAACATTTGTCTCTGGAAAACACCATTTTTGCTAGCTCATCTGCAAGGTAGGAAAATACTCCTTTAACCATCGGCGCCAAAAGATGTTGGCCAGGTACTGGACTTGTCGCCATCTTTGTTTTACATACTGATCATTCTTGGTAAATACCCCAGGTGGATATGTTGAATTAGAACGGAGCATCAATAGATGATTTGGTGTCAATGCTTCAGCGTCAAATGGGCTATCTGAATTTGGTGTTATGGGTCTGCTGTTTACGATTGCTTCAACTTCAGCCATGGTTGTTTTGATTAAAATTATGAAGACTATAATATCTTGTGCGGTATGTCCGTAACACAGACTGCCCATGTTCCCATCATGGTCAGGCAAACTTTTCAGCTTGCCCGGTGTGGATGCATAGTCAGAATAACACCACAAACAATTATTACGCCCTAATATATGATGTCCTACTTTATTATTTTACTTTCTCTAATGCCAGATGATTTTATTCGTCGAGGGAAGAGCACTGGTGCTCAATGGGTTAATTCTTCCTCCCTTTGTATCAAATGAAATATGTTTGTAGTGATTGGATTAATTGATTTCCCTTGCTCGTGTTAGCATGATATTTCATTTTGCTTAGTTTACACAATAATGATAAATCATATTTCTCAACTGTATTTGATGCTACAGTAACTACATTATACAGTATGCTGAGCGTAGAAACTAAATCACCCGGACTGATCGACAGGTGGTTATTTCGAATCCTGGGGCTGGGGCTAGCCAGAATTTGAACTTTTCTGAAGTATTATATTTTATGGACAATTTTAGTATTTTAGAAATTTTGGCTTGTTACATGGCTGGTTGAAGGAAACACCGTCCATTTTTCACCTTACGTTTTTGGAACAAACGTTAATTAAACAGTAATTGCATAAGCGTTCACTGATCAGATAACTATTATACGCTGCATTTATTGTTAGGCCAGCTTAGAGGTTGATATATCCCGGTATTTGGCAAGAGTAATTTTGTCGGCTATATAACGCACGTCGTAATACGACATGGGTCACACACGTAGAGATGCACAACATATAACAAAACCTAAAGCATGCAGACATTCCAACGGTATTGTTATCAGGACGTGCTCACTCTTCAGTTTTTGTTTCCAGCATGCATGTCGATAAATTATCAAAGGCCTGTTGATATTGACAACATATATAACGAACCTGAAGCAGGTCTGTTGATAATTTGTTAGAGGATCTTTGACTGTTAACAAGTTGTGAGTGACAATCTTATAAAACTTGAGAAACTAACAACGTTGTTACAACTTGTTGGCAAACTTGTTACAAGTCTGTTCAGTGTTGACAAGATTTGAAGATTTTTGTTTTTGTGTATAGCTAAATTTGGCAGCAAAGTTTACATAAACTGGAAAGTTAACTCCAATTAATAAGTCCTATTACTGGTTGATAGCTAGAAAATTGCCGCTATTGGAAAATTGTGCTTTCAAAAGGTCTAGGGAGGGCTTTGAGGTGTGGGCTATTCAGTACAACGTTTTTCTGACTGTTACAGCAAACATTTGAGGGAACTTATTTCCCCAGTCTTGAAAATTCACAAACGTGGGGACGTGTTGAAGCTATGTATGTCCTTGTATAATCCCGAAAAAATACTTTAAAACCTTCCGTAGATAAGAAAAAAAACTTGTTATGTACTGAATTCTAGGTCTTGTTGTTTATCGTAAGCTTTATATAGTCCTTGCTTTGAAACTGGTCTTTTCTCTAAGACAAATATTTGAATTTTTTCAGTCGTTTGATAGACTTGGCTAGCCAACTGGTATAGCTGCACTTCAAGAAAGCCCCTTTAATAATTTTATTTACTTGTTCTAAAAACGTTATCCAATGCATAGGTCGACGAAAACACTGTTTCCACTCTGCCATCAAACTTCTTCGTCAACAATCTCCTAGCAACAATGGCGCTGACAACTGACAAGCCCGCTGCGAAGAAGATTGTTTGTGACAGTTGTGACAGCGAAGATGCTGCTCAAAGCCGTTGCAATGAATGTGGAATATTTCTTTGTCCATATTGTACCGAGTTTCATCAACGATCTCGGTCAATGAAACATCACGAGCTGATGACGATGGAGCAATTGAAATCCAATCCAGGTCCCCAGAACATTGCTGAGAAGATACGATGTCCCAAACACAAGGACGAAGTCATCAAGTTGTTTTGTAAAACATGTCAAACAACCATTTGTAGAGATTGCACCATCGTTGATCATCGGCAGCATGAATATGGGTTTGTTGAAGAAGTCGCTGTCGAAGAAAAACGTCATTTGCAAAGCAATCTTAATGAAGTAAAGCAAAGAAAAGGAAGAGTTGCACAGGGAATTGTAAACCTGAAGAAATTTAATGAAGGTCTGGAGGCTAAGAAGAAGTCAACAATCTCAGAAATCAGTCAGCACTTCGATCAACTTGTCAAAGCTGTGGAATCTCGGAGAAGAGAAATGATGGAAAGAGCGACTTCTATCACGAATTTCAAACAAAAGCAGATTCACGCGCAGTTAGAGGTCTTAGAAGTGGCTTTAGCAAGTTGTGAAAGCAGCATCGAGTTTACAGAGCAAGCGTTCAAGAATGGCAACGATGTTCAAATATTAAGCATGGAGAAGTACATTTTGCAGTCTTTGGAGCAACTGAAAGCAGTTAAAGATCAAACGGAGCCTTGTGTTACTGAAGACATCGTGTTTATTATTCCTTCGTCGGTGCAGGAAAAAAAGAAAGAGTTGTTGATTGGGTATGACGTAGGTGTCGCTGTAGCAAATCCTGAAAGTTGCACGGCTTCCTTTGAAGAAACTGAAGCAACATTCAATGCTGCGAAACAGTACTGCATAACATTAATCTGTCACGACAAAAATAACCGAAGATTACGATACGGAGTTCAGGACATCAAACCGTCGTTCACTGGAATGGAGGTCAGTGATGTTGTCGTTACTGATAATAAAGATAGCTCCTACACCATCAGTTTTTGTCCTCGTCAGGGTGGCATGTTGAAGTTCGAGGTATCCATCAATGGAACGCCTGCTCCGAAATGTTCTTTGACAAAACAAGTGAAGTGGGTTATAAGTGATGTTCATGGTAAAGGTCCTATTACTGATGATGGACGTACAATGAGGGGTGATGGTGGTTACTGTTGCAGAGTAGGTGGATGTTACTTTGATTCCGGAGTTCACACGTGGAAAGTTCGATTGAGAAACCTTTTGTTTGGTGATCCCACTGCTGAAGTTGGAATCATCGACTATGACGAAATTAATGCATATATGGCTCAAAGCAAAAGGAAGTGTGTTCATAACCATTCTGTCCGAGCTGGTCCCGGTGATGATATTTCCTTCAATCTGGACATGGAAAAAAGAACATTGAACGTCAAAGTTAATTCGACTCGTCATGGCTCTAGTACTAACAGCTATCAGTTCACTGCACGTCGTGTTTCACCTTTCTTTGCGTCCAGCTCATCTTTTCTGAGTATTAGTTTAGTTGAATGAAAACATTTAACTGTCGGTGAAATTCAATGCTGCTTGTAAACGGGAAAAAAAACTGCAGGAAAATCGCAATGCCAGCTAAAACGCGAGTTTCGTAAATTATTGTTTTAACTGTTGCTAAAATATATCGAATAAAGCTAAAACAAAGTAATTTTGAGAGGAACGCCAAAAAGATTTTAGGTTTTGAACACTTTTCATCGCAAATACGCGATGTTGAAAAAAATTGTCTCCTGAAGGTTCATATCGGAATTTGAAATTTTTCTTAACAGTTTTCCTGTTAACGAGATGATCCTTACTGGACCTTTAGGAAGAACAGTTTAGGACTATAGAGGTAGTTTAGCTTAGTTTCGCTTACCTCAGATTAAAATCGTTATAGTTATTATAATTTCTCCTAAGATTTATTTCGTTGGCAAAGCCCAGGAGTGGATTATCGTCCCCCTCTTCCACATAATGAATCCAGTCCCCCCCCCCTTCACCCACGGTCACATTGCCAATTTTCACTTGCTTTATTCTCCCCCCGACATAGTCTCGAGCTTCAAGTATCAGAACATTTGTGAAGCCATTGTTTTGAAGATGATGGCCCGCTGTGATTGCCGATGAAAAAAGTTCAAAACCTAAAATCTTTTTTTTGGCGTTCCTCTCAAGAATACTTTGATTTCGCTTTGTTTTGTAGCTTACACAGTTCGCAACGTTTTTAAACGTACCTGGTGGTTGAGAAAGACAAAATAATAGTTAGATATTGTCAATTTAAATGTATTTAGTACTCAGTAGTTATTAGTTAATCATCGATGCTATAAAAATAGTAAAGTTGACGCCATATTTATACAGCAATATAAGCAAAATTTACTGAACTTCAGAGATCAGTTCCTCTTTGGCGTACCATCTAAAATCTCTTCATTTTTGCAGAATTTGACAGATTTTTTTAAAATTCAGATACTTGTAAAGTTTGTTTGCTGCTTGAGAAACGTATTAAAAATTTAAAAATTTGAATATAGTCAGGGCATTTTTTAACTATATAACTACTGGGGCATATACCCCAGTAGGTCCTTTGCTTGCCCCAGCAGTGAAGCATGATTTTCAGATGAGCTATGGGCCCTTTTGACTGCCTGCTTTCTCATATCCTCTCACATTATCACACCATAGCGCTGCCCCTGAACACAGGGTGATTTTTATGTACCAGTAACTGTGTGAGGAAAAGGCCCTCATTGAGACTTGGCCCCAGTAGTTGTAATTTCTTAATATAGTCATACCCAATTAGTGGAAAAGTATATTCATTAGTTTTGTGCGCGTGTACATACAAATGATTCTCGTCTTAATCATCATGTCAGAAGAAGACTGGTCACAAGATACAAAAAAATTGAGTTGATATTGGATAAATGATTCAAATGTTACTGAGAGTAAATCATGACACGTGAATTTTCCTGACTGGATGTAAATGTCACCCAACACTGTAAATGAATATAAATATGAGACAACGAAATGTGTGTTTATTTTACTGACCAATTTGATTTTACAGTACATGAATTGGCATTGTATTCTTAAACCACCCCGTGTGACAAATACTCTTTGAGGTAGTTGGATCCACTCGTTAACACACACGCGTGCTTCCGCGCGTTCCACCTCTGGGATTGTGGGTTCATGATCCTCACATCGGACTAATGACACTTACGTGAAAATAGTTAGTCAACGCTCCACCGAAATCGTTTTCAACTATAAATTCCACGCCATATTACTATTGATATGACATTACATTTTGTAGTGCTTTAATCCTATCCGTTTTATGACCTAGCATTTGATAGTCACGTTATCAACATTGAAGTCCTCGTAGTCGGGGGCGAAACTAGCCCCTTTTAATTAGGGGGATGTCTGCTAGACTTGCCCTGCGAAAACCGATGATGCCCTGCAGCAAAAATTCTTTTTGGCCACTATTTCTCCCAAAAATGTTGGCGAGCGGGGGGGAGGTCGAAAAATTTTTTTCCGGACATTCAAAAAAGGGGCGAAAAAATTTTTCCGGACATAAACCAATTAAATTAAGGGTCAAAAAATTTTTTCGGACAAATTCCTGTTAAAACATGCATGAAACCCTTATATTTGCCCCAATATCTGTAAAATTTAGGTCTATAAATTCTATTCAATTCCCTCTGGAAGCCCTGGAAGCTACTTAACTCTACATTCTATCATTTAAAATCTTTCATTGCCCTGCCAATCCAGATGATTTGCTTTGGCAATCCAGATGATTTGTACTTTGGGGGGTGTCCCCCCCCCAAGCTTCGCCCCTGCTCGTAGTTGGATATGATATATTAAGCCAGACGTCAGACGAGCAGGTTTTCTTTGACAAGTTTCCCTTGACAAGTTTTTAGGGTTAGTTAAAAAACTAAGGGCCCCCGACAGTTAGGGCCCCCTTCAGCCACGGCCTATCACCCAGAAATTAGAAAACGTAAAAAATGCAGGTTAAGAATCAATGGGAATATATAAAACTTGTCAGCGAGAACTTCTCGGGGAAAAATTGCCGGTCCGTACGGGGCTATACAGTTTATACACTGTCAGGTAAACATATATATGTAGGATGAAATAATCCATGCTTAAACTTGTTGCGATATATGATTTGGTCGTTTCATCATGAGGAGTTGTTATTTCTGCTCTATAAACTTCGTTACTATAATTGGCTAATTTCCTGCAGAGTGCATTCGCTGGGGTTTCAGGTACCGTGTATCGCTATCAGCGGAAAAGCGAGAAGATGCGTTTGTTAATGGATGTAGAGGCCTTGTTGCAATAACAGTATGAAAATTTACCAACAAGGTCACCCTGTTAATTTTATTAACATCTTAGGGCCTCTTTAAGATCCTCTTAACATCAATACAGCTAATTGTTTCAGTCTACATGATGCCCATTCCAAGGGCGAAACTAGCCCCTTTTAATTAGGGGGTGTCTGCCAGAATTTCCCTGCGAAAGTCGATGATGCCCTGCAGGAAAAAATTGGGGGGGGGGGCACTATTTCTCCCAAAAAACGTGTGCGAAGGGGGGAGGGAGGGAAGGGGAGGTCGAAAACATTTTTTTCGGACATTCAAAAAAGGAGCGAACAAATTTTTCCGGACATAAACCAATTAAATTAAGGGTCAATTATTTTTTTACCAATATCTGTAAAATTTATGTCTATAAATTCTATTCAATTCTCTCTGGAAGCCCTGGAAGCTACTTAATAACTCTACATTCTATCACTTTAAATCTTTCATTGCCCTGCCAATCCAGATGATTTGCCCTGATGAATTTATTATCATCGGTTCAAAGCAGCAAATGTCAAAGATTAACATCAATGAAATTACAGTTGGTGAATCTACGATCGAGCCTGTGGAGGTGGTTCAAAGCCTCGGAATGTGGTTTGACTCACATATGTCGATGGATATTCACATCGGAAAAGTGTGTAGTAAGGCGTTTCGCAGCCTCTATAATATCCGGCAGATAAGGAAATTCCTTTCAGAAGATACAACAAAGATTTTGGTTCATGCTTTTGTTACTTCACACCTGGACTACTGTAACTCATTGTTTTATGGTCTCCCACAGTCTCAATATGATAGGTTACAAAGAGTTCTCAATGCTGCAGCACGTGTGGTCTGTCTAATCCCCAAATTCGATCATATTACTCCCGTTTTGATTGGCCTTCATTGGCTTCCTGTACGGTATCGGGTGATTTTCAAGATTTTGTTGCTGGTGTACAAGGCTCTTCATGCTAATGCACCGCCTTATACCTCAGACCTTCTGACACCTAAGCATATTGGTTGCTACAGCCTGCGCTCGAATGAGCAAAACTTGCTAATAGTTCCTAAGACAATGAGGAAAACGTTTGGCGACAGAGCTTTTGCCAAGGCTGGTCCATTTTTGTGGAATGAACTTCCCGCTGACATTCGTGAAGCGTCAACAGTGGAAACTTTTAAAAGCAGACTCAAGACCTTTCTTTTTAAAAAGGCATTTTATCTTTAAATATAATAGTAAATTTGAACTTCCCGCTGACATTCGTGAGGCGTCAACAGTGGAAACTTTTAAAAACAGACTTAAGACCTTCCTTTTTAAAAAAAGGCATTTTATCTTTAAATATAATAGTAAATTTTAAACATGTATATATAGGTATCATCTCATACTTTATAACATTTTATTTGAATTTGTAATGATAGCGCTTTAGAATATTTATAGTTTTTAGCGCTTTATAAATTAATAAATTATTATTATTATTATTTATTATTATTAAATTATTAATTATTAAATTATTATTTGTACTTTGGGGAGGGGGTTCCCACACCTTCCCTCACCTTCCCTCGAGTTTCGTCCCTGGGCCATTCGTGTGCCGCGAACAGAAGTAGGAGTGGTCTCCATACAAAGTAGGAAGGGTTTTGTCGATGGAAATTTCCAGTGCTTCGATCACACGTGGCAAATGGCCTATTTAGATGCGACGATTATTTTATATGTGGATTTTAGAAATATTATATATTAGGAGCGGACCGTTTGATGGGGTAGATTTTCATTGAGCCCGATAATTTTTTAACCTCCTAATGCTGCTTGATCTTTTTCTGTCGTTCAAGGCCCTTGAACGATTTTTTATTTCGTGAGAAGATATAAAAAATTGCATTGCTAAGAATTCGAACGGGTGAAAACATATTCATTTTACAGATGTAAGGCTGGTATACTTTAATTTAGGGTATTATAATAAGTTGCGGCACAGTTATTGCGCGATTGTAGTAATCATGTGTTTATAAAATGGTCCGTCGTCCGCCATTTATCTGTCCGCCTTTTATTTACACCCTTTGACGTCATCAGGCTATTCGATATTTTCGCAATTCCAAGCAATAGCCGAAGCGTTCTGTTTCAAAACAAAGATTTGGGTTTGCTACAAAATTGTTTGATGTTTTGATGAGAAGGTGAGTTGTACTACAGTTAAATTGGCATAAACTTTACTTTGAAGTGTAGATATTTTATACGGAAGTATTTAACATACAGTATATAGTGTTTTATATAGTGTAATGCCTGTAAAATCAGTCAGTACGTCGTCCAGTTTGTAATATGTCCCGTATAGTGTTTATAGATGGACCGACGGACTTAGTATGGGATTCTAGTTCTGTTGTCCAATCTTTCAATCATAGCTGTATGTGTATTTTTTATATAATATGATCGTAAGTTAATAAAAGTATCACTAGTAATTGCGCACACTTTGCGGACATATTTCCTGGTTGAAGTTGTCGTGTTGGTATATGTAGTTCTCACGGGGAAAATACGACATAAAATCAATACGAATTATGAGACGATAGCTACAGATTACAGGAAGAAATTTTCAACATTTAGGAAAACTGAACATGGCGAAATATGTTTGAGATTTGGAGGAATTGAGTGTTTTAGAGCCCGGTGTCACGCGAAATTCCTGACTTGCGAAATATCTGACTATTGTAGAATTGCCCATGCGCAGACGATGCGCATGAATGACTTTGGCTCATAAATTTCGCAACTCAACAGACAACACGTGTATATTTATAAAGTCATTTTATTTACACATAAATTTTCCAACATCAATTTCAACTGAATTGACACTATATACCACTGATTGTGAACGTTAGCGTTCAGCGATAATAAAGCTTGAATCGCAGATATGGAAAAAATCACTCGAAAAGCGATCTTAATGATATAAATAGACTCCAGTTTCAAAGGTTATGCTATATGCATTACTATACTATAAGCACCAAAAATTGTTTCGCGTTTGACTTTCTCACTATTTAGTAAGCAGCAACAATGAGTTCGTGAGTTGGCCGTTTAGATTTGGCGATGTCTATATTAGAAACACTTGGTAACATTGCATATGGACTTAAAAATCGTTTCTACCGACCGTATTTAGCAAACGTCGTGTATTTCGCGGTCACGACCACACAATTCGCTTTGAAATTTAAAGTGTGATTGAAACTTAGCGATGTCGATTTGAAATATTTAACGAAGTATTAGAAATTAACATCATGATTATTTTATCTAAACTCTAAAAGTCCTAAAAAACAGTTTTGGCCGATTTAGAATTTAGCATGCGTCATGTATTTCGCGCCTGTACGCGCGAAATTTCTGACCGGTCACGCTAGGTCGGGTATTTCGCAGAGGTCAGGAATTTCGCTTGACACCGGAAGCAGTTTCTTTCGCTTTAATTGTTGCGCAATGCGCACCGCCGCACCAGATGCAAAATTGCCAGAATTAGATGGTTTTCAATTACGTACATTTGAGTTGCACAAAATATGATTCCTCCCAAATAGTAATAAAAGACTGTATCGGATTCAAGTTTCTAATACTCTTATAGCCCATGTTTACATTACAAGCCAATAACTGGTCACAAAATAGAGACACACAGAAGGTTGACTCTGCTAGATAAGTGTAATTGCTGCCACACCATGATTCCCAATGATCTGTCAACAAAATGCACTTGTCATTTTCCTGGCTAATGGTTCTTATAACCCAGAGTGTTGGCCAGGATTTCAAAAGTGGCCGTCCAAAATAATTTTGTGGGTGTAGTCATAAATTTTTGAGGCCGTGATCCAGGCCCGGAGCTACGGGGGGTGCGGGGGGGTGTGACACCCCCCCCCCAGTAATTGTATTCAGTCGGTAGGACTGCTATTCAGTCGGTAGAACTGCTATTTGGGTTAAATATTTTTGGCGCAAAGGGCAAGAACGTGGTGGGAATTTTAGGAAAATTTTTAGGAAAAATGTAAAAATTTTGGAAAAATTTTGGGTTTTTTTTAACCAGTCGGTTGAATTGACCTTATTACACACCCCCCCCCTGAAGAATTTTCTGAGGACGGCCCTGCCGTGATCACATGTTTTTGGGCGTAGCCGCAATTTTTTGTTGTCGTGGAATTGTGGTGTTCTATTCGTTGAACTTTTTACTTTTAGTTTTAGATGCACATTTCAATCATTTCATCACAAAGCTTGTAAATTGTTATTTGAACGAAATATTCCCTTAGGCCGTCCATTAAAATTTAGCCGTCTGAATTCAGAAGTGGCCGTCCGTAGGAGATGGTCGGACGGCCGCATGGCTAACACCCTGCTTATGAGAGGTATTTACATATTTTATATAAGAACATTACAACCTGTTTCATCCATATCAACATCTTTTCAATATATAACATATTTTTGGCCGACTATATTAATAGCTTATGTCACAGACCATGCTTTAACTAAAGGTTTGTGGTACAAGCTAGGCCTACTTGGGTATGGCTGTAATTTTTATCACCGTTATTAAGCATGGGCATGGGCGTACAACATCCTTGACTCATTTGATTGATAAAAAATATATGGCAGATGAATAAATTGATTATTTATGGCATTTTTGACTCTTTTATTTGTGTGATGCAACGAGGAACAATTTTAACTCGTACATTCACTACACTGTTGTTGAAAGGGTCTTAATTTTTAGTAGATCTCCAGCCCTATATAAAGTGTCAATTTTGCAGATTATAAATGATGGTAATTGTGTTTTCAGCTGTAGTTACGATGGCTGAATCACTTCGATATAAAGTTGAGGAACATTTGACTTGCTCTGTTTGTTTGGAACCATTTAAAGATCCCAAAGTTTTACCTTGCCTTCATTCATATTGTCATGTCTGCATTGTAAACCTGGCCAAGAATGCAAATTCCAATACTATCAACTGTCCCGAGTGTCGATTGGTAGTAGAGGTAGGAAAATGAATAATTAATTACCGATTAAGTTGCATAATTGTGCCACAATACAGCCTACTTAACTGATTTACTTTCACTGTCTAAGCCCAGATGATTTTACTCATCAAGGGAGAGTACTGGTCATCAATGGGTTAATATGTCAAAATTTAAAGAAAATGAAATTCACACTCAGAGTAACATCACAAACATCATATTTGCCTACATAACACCAACACACATGAAAAAGTATCATATCATAGACTCAGTTCCGAAAAATATCACCAACTCGAACCAACTTGGCCTTGTAGCTCAGTTGTTAGAGCCAATGACTATAGTATCAGTCCCGATTCCCACTGTGGTCGACCCGGCAAACTTTTCAGGTTGCCTGGTGCGGATGAACACTCAGAGTAACACCACAAACAATGTCTACTTTATTATTTTACTCTCTTTCTAAAGCCCAAGTCACACTACACAACGATAACGATACGATAACTTGTATACGCGCGCTGATTGGTCAAAAATGTATCGTTATCGTTCGACTGAACAAAAAAATCGCTCAGGTGAGCGATTTTAAAATCGTTATCGTTATCGTCAAACGATAATTTTATCATTTTCGTTGTAGTGTTGACACTAACACAATTTTTTTTCCAATTATCGCGTGTTTACAATTTATCGTATCGTTATCGTTGTGTAGTGTGACCGGGCCTTAATGCCAGATGATTTTCTCGTTGCATGAGGGAAGAGTACTGGTGCTCAATGGCCGGGTTAATTCTTCTTCCCTTTGTATCAAATGAAATATGTGTGTAGTGATTGGATTAATTGATTTCCCTTGCTCGTGTTAGCATGATATCTCATTTTGCTGCACACAGTAAATGATAAATCATATTTGTCAACTGTATTTGATGCTACAGTAAACACATATTGTATGCCGATGTTTACTCTGTTTCCATATATAAACCTGATAAACTGAGCATAGAAACTAAATCACCTGGAATCGACAGGTAGACAGGGGGTTATTTCCAATCCTGGAGCTAGCCAGAATTTGAGAATGTTTTATGTGGGCCTCTCATTTAATAGATGCAACAAAACTTTTCTGAAGTATTATATTTTATGGATAATTTTAGTATTTCAGAAATATTGGCTTGTTATGGCTGGTTGAAGGAAACACCGCGTTCATTTTTCACCTTACGTTTTTGGAACAAACATTAATTAAACAGTAATTGCATAAACGTTCACTGATTACTAGATAACTATCATACGCTGCATTTATTGTTAGGACAGCTTAGAGGTTGGTATACCGGTATTTGGCAAGTGTAAATTTGTCTTGGCTATACTGCGTGTCGTAATACGACATGGGTCACACACGTAAATTAAAGACGCACAACATACTGTATAAAAACCTGAAGCATCCAGATATACCAACGGTATTGTTATTAAGACGTGTTCACTCTTCAGTTCTTGTTCTCAGCATGTCGATAAGTTATCAAAGGCCTGTTGATAATTTGTTACAAGGTCTTTGACTGTTAACAAGTTGTGAGTGACAATCATATAAAACTTGACAAACTAACAACGTTGTCATAACTTGTTGGCAAGCTTGTTGAAAGTCTGTTCAGTGTTGACAAGATGTGAAGATTTTTGCGTGTGTGTAGCTAAATTTGGCATAGAAAATTGCCGCTAGTTGGAAATATGCTCTTTCAAAAAGTCTAGAACTCTGGATTGCTTTGAGGTGTGGGCTATTTAGTCCAACGTTTTTCTGACTGTTACAGCAAAAGTTTGAGGGTACTTATTTTTCCCAGCTTTGAAAATTACGAACGTGTGGACGTGTCGAAGCTGTGTATGCCCTTGTATAACCCCGAAAAAATACTTTAAAATCTTCCGTATATATAAAAAACTTGTTATGTACTAGTAAAGTTACTAAAATCCAGGTATCGTATGTTTAGTTCTTACTTTAAAACTAGACTATTTAGTCCGTGTGTAATTGTGACCTTGAAAAGTGCCTAAAAAATTTTCATGATGCATGTCTTAGATCTGAAATACTTTTACGGAAACTAACACTTTCGAACACGCTGATTTCAAATCCGAAAAGTTCCCACTCCGTAGACCCGCAGTTTTTTCACAAAATGCTATTTTATCTTCACTAATTTCACAACAAATTTTTTCATTGTTCAACGACACGGATCGATGATGATACACGATTATGTCACTCAAAAGGACCAATTTCTATTAACCATTCTTCCTTTAAACAAAAGACCGGTTTTACTCGAATCATTTTGAGTTATGCAATCTTATGCGTGTTGGACGTAAACAACATATCTTGTCTACAACTTTGAGAAGGTACAGATAATTCCTTCTAAAATCCTTAGTTCTGGAACTATCTCTATAAAATCACAAGGACGTTAATGTCAAGTCTTTGTGCTATGTCTCTGGGATGAGAAATAATTCCTTACATGCGATCAAAATGTTTTATACAAAGATATAAAACGGTAATCTATATGTAATGGATCAGCATTGAAATTTCCAACACGGTTTCCGAGACGTAATTCAAGATTAACTTATCATTGCATTTGAACTATTACATCAGTTGGTGTTATACTGTGCGATAAGCGAATATTATTGGACAGAGGGCTTCTATATACGTTGAAATCATCAAAATTAATAAACAGCTCATGCACACATTTCTGCACTCTGTGGTAAGTTTACAGAGCATATTTTATACTTTGGGACTGATCTTTGTCTTTGATGTGAACATTTATTCTCATAGTTTAAGGTTATTTAAGATTGATCCTGTCCTAAGTCTTCTAGCAGCAACCATTCGACAATATTTCATTTTAGCGCTGTCTTTGCCGTTACGTTGGCTTCGCGTTACTTTTGTTTTAAATAACCTGATCGCGTTAAAAGAGTTATTTTTCAGGCCAGTGACATAGCTAAAAGACTAGTTGCATTAATGTCCTTGTGATTTTATAGAGATATCTCTAGAACTGATGATTTTAGAAAGCGTTATCTGTACCTTCTCAAAGTTGTAGACAAGATATGTTGTTTACGTCCAACACGCATAAGATTGCATAAATCAAAATGATTCGAGCAAAACCGATCTTTTGTTAAAAGGAATAATGGTTAATAGAAACTGGTCTTTTGAAGTGACATAATCGTGTATCGTCGTCGATCCGTATCGTTGAACAATGAAAAAATTTGTTGTGAAATTAGTGATAAAGGTAAGATAAAATAGCATTTTGTGAAAAAACTGCGGGTCTACGGAGTGGGAACTTTTCGGATTTGAAATCAGCGTGTTCGAAAGTGTTAGTTCCCGTAAAAATATTTCAGATCTAAGACATGCATCATGAAAGTGAACGATATCGGGTCACAACACGCGGACTAATTCTCTAAAACAAATATTTGGATTTAACTTTCAGTCGTTTAATAGACCTGACTAGCCAACTTGTAGCTGGACGTCAAGAAAGCCCCTATGATAATTTTATTTACTTGTTCTAAAAGCGTTATCCAATGCATAGGTCAACGAAAACACTGTTTCCACTTTGCCATCAAACTTCTTCGTCAACAATCTCCTAGCAACAATGACGCTGACAAATGATGAGCCCGCTGCGAAGAAGATTGTTTGTGACAGCTGTGACAGTGAAGATGCTGCTCAAAGCCGTTGCAATGAATGTGCAGTATTTCTTTGTCAATTTTGTACCGAGTTTCATAAACGATCTCGGTTAATGAAACACCACGAGCTGATGACGATGGAGCAATTGAAATCCAATCCAGGTCCCCAGAACATTGCTGAGAAGATACGATGTCCCAAACACAAGCAAAAAGCCATCAAGTTGTTTTGTAAAACATGTCAAACAACCATTTGTAGAGATTGCATCATCGTTGATCATCGGCAGCATGAGTATGGGTTTGTTGAAGAAGTCGCTGTCGAAGAAAAACGTCATTTGCAAAGCAATCTTAATGAAGTAAAGCAAAGAAAAGGAAGAGTTGCACAGGGAATTGTAAACCTGAAGAAATTTAATGAAGGTCTGGAGGCTAAGAAGAATTCAACAATCTCAGAAATCAGTCAGCACTTCGATCAAATTGTCAAAGCTGTGGAATCTCGGAGAAGAGAAATGATGGAAAGAGCGACTTCTATCACGAATTTCAAACAAAAGCAGATTCACGCGCAGTTAGAGGTCTTAGAAGTGGCTTTAGCAAGTTGTGAAAGCAGCATCGAGTTTACAGAGCAAGCGTTCAAGAATGGCAACGATGTTCAAATATTAAGCATGGAGAAGTACATTTTGCAGTCTTTGGAGCAGCTGAAAGCTGTTAAAGATCAAACGAAGCCTTGTGTTACTGAAGACATGAGGTTTATCATTCCTTCGTCGGTGCAGGAAAAAAAGAAAGAGTTGTTGATTGACTATGACGTAGATGTCACTGTAGCAAACCCTGAAAGTTGCACGACTTCCTTTAAAGAAACCAAAGCAACATTTAATCCTGGGAAACAGTACTCCATAACATTAATCTGTCACGACAAAAATAACCGAAGATTAAGATACGGAGGTCAGGACATCAAACCGTCGTTCACTGGAATGGAGGTCAGTGATGTTGCCGTTACTGATAATAAAGATGGCTCCTACACTATCAGTTTTTGTCCTCGTCAGGGTGGAATGTTGAAGTTCGAGGTATCCATCGATGGAACGCCTGCTCCAAATTGTTCTTTGACAAAACAAGTGAAGTGGGTTATAAATGATGCTCGTGGTAAAGGTCCTATCACTGATGGTGGACGTACAATGACGGGTGATGGTGCTTACTGTTGTAGAGTAGGTGGATGTTACTTTGATTCCGGAGTTCACACGTGGAAAGTTCGATTGAGTAACGTTTCCTGGGGTCAACAACTCATTTCTGAAGTTGGAATCATCGACTATGACGAAATTAATGCAGATATTGCTCAAAGCAAAAAGAAGTGTGTTCATAAGCATTCTGTCCCATTTACTTTAGGTGATGATATTTCCTTCACTCTGGACATGGAAAAAAGAACCTTGAACGTCAAGGTTAATTCGAGTCGTCGTGGCTATAATACTACTAACAGCTATCAGTTCACTGCACGTCGTGTTTCACCTTTCTTTGCGTGCAGCTCACCTTTACTGTTTATTAATTTAGTGGAATGAAAACATTTAACTGTCGGTGAAATTCAATGCTGTTTATGAACGGAACAAAAACTGCGGGAAAATCGCGATGCCTGCCAAAACGCGAGTTTCGTAAATTATTGTTGCAACTGTTGCTAAAATATATCGAATAAAGCTAAAACAAAGTAATTTTGAGAGGAACGCCAATAAGATTTTAGGTTTTGAACATTTTCTTTGGAAATACGCGATATTGAAAAAAATCGTTGAGTTGATCCTTACTGGACCTCTAAGAAGAATTAACAGTTTAGGACTGTGGAGCTATCCAGTATAAATAAAGGTAGTTTAGTTTCGCTTACCTCAGATTAAAATCGCTATAGTTATTATAATTTCTCCTAAGATTTATTTCGTTGGCAAAGCTCAGGAGTGGATTATCGTCCCCCTCTTCCACATAATGAATACAGTCCCCCCTTCGCCCACGGTAACATTGCCAAATTTCACTTGCTTTTTGCTCCCCCCGACATAGTCTTGAACTTTGAGTATAAGAAAATTTGTGAAGCCATTGTTTTGAAGATGATGGCCCGCTGTATTAAATCTTGCCCCGATGAAAAGAGTTCAAAATCTAAAATCTTTTTGGGCGTTCCTCTCAAAATTACTTTGTTTTCGCTTTATTTTGTAATTTACACAGTTCGCAACCTTTTTAAACGTATCTGGCGGTTGAGAAATACAAAATAATAGTTACATATTGTCAATTTAAATATACAGTTCTTGTAGTTATTAGTTAGTCATCGATCATATTTATACAGCAATATAAGCAAAATTTACTGAACTTCAGAGATCAGTTCCTCTTTGGCGTGCCATCTAATATCTCTTCATTTTAGCAGAATTAATTTGACAGATTTTTTAAAATCAGATTCTTGTAAAGTTTGTTTGTCGCTTGAGAAACGTATCAAAAATTAAAAAATTGAATATAGTCATAATCAAGTGGAAAAGAATATTCATTAGTATTGTGCGCGTGTCACGTGACATACAAACATTGAACTATAAATAAACTGGAAGGCTAACTCAGGGGGGGGGGAAATTGAAGCCAGTGCATTTTAGTTTTTCTGAGTTATGAGCAGAAATACTCAACACTGAACGTTGGGCTATATATAAAATTGAAGCTATTGAAAAACGCTATTTGGTGTAGAAATTTCAAGATTTTAGCTAAAAGGGAAGTACTGAAAAATTACAAACATAATTACCGATAATTTGCCGTTTTGCAGTTGTTTTTGTATTTTTTAAATATTTTTCTTTTCGCTGAAGTCTTGAAATTTCCACACCGAATAGCAATTTTCAATAGCTTCAATTTGATATGTAGCCGGACGTTTGGGGTCAAGTATTTCTGCTCATAACTCAGAAAAACTATTTTGGCTTCATCAAATCATAGGCCTTCATCATAGCAGTTAGCCTTCCAGTTTATTTATAGTTCAATGCATACAAAAGACTCTCACACAACGGTGTAGTGGACTGGAACACAGGCTAAATTAGTGCCTCTGACACAAAATATGATTTTCAGTCTATTGAAAGTACTCATTTAGTGTAGTGTTCTAGCGAAAGAATTTTTCGATTTCATCCAAACGAAAAAATGTTAGAGCCGTTTGGACACGCAAAATTTGGGCTTTTGGTTTGGCAGGCGTCCATGTTCGAAGGAAACTGGAACGAGCGATTTTTGTTACGTCACGCAAGTGAGTCGGCTGGCCGTCGACGTATATTCTATGATTCAACTAGTACTAACTCTTGGCGCATATATATGTAGATTTGTGATCGAAAAGATATGCCTTTTTACTCTGTTGCAGCTAACTGTACCAATAAAGCATGTTTAATTAATTAAAAGATGGAATAAGTTTGCGGAAGTTAAAAGACGAAGAAAAGTATGGGTTGATTTTGTATGCGCAAAGCGTTTGTTTGTGCCGTCAAAGACTTCGACTATTTAATGCTCGGATTATTGTAGAACAGAGGATTACTAGAGGCATGCAATTTTTTTCGTTGCCGGGGCTCGGCAAGCTTAACTATCCGAAGCTATTAAAGACTGACGATGATTCGCTTTGTTCTGATGATTCAGTTTTACGGGCCAGCTAAAAATGTAAATATTTTGTAATACCGAAATAAAAGATGCAAATCTTAAGACACAAGCTTGAAAATAAGACTCTAAATAGTGTTTTGGATCGCACAAGTTTCATGTTAAATTTCTTGTTGAATATTTACGTTCTCAATCGCTATTTCAGGAGAAGACTGGTAAAAAAGGTCGAGTTGAATATTCGATAGATGATTCAAATGTGACTGAGAGTAAAATTATTCTTGTTTCATATTGCAAAATATATAAATTATGTCATTCAAAATCAGCACTGTAGTAACACTGGATCAATAAGAGATGCATGGTCCTTACTGGATCTCTAGGAAGAACAGTTTAGGACGGCTAGAGCAGTTGATCAGCTGGTTGATTGCGTTTTATCTCAAAAACGTACCTTTTAATTCCTATATAGACATTTGTTTTCGGAATTAAATGAACTGGAGAAGTCACCTTGGAAAACTGGAGGAGGGGTCCGTGTCACCTTATTTCCCCTCTGTGATGCTGGGAAGAAAAACCCAATTTCATTTTGATCGGAAATGTTGCACTTAGGATGGTTTTTGTGGCGATTGGGGGGAGGGGGGCGCGGTAGCTTCCCCTCCGCCCCCTAGGTTACGCCACTGCTTACGATTCTGCGAGTTGAAACCCAAACTCTTCGGCTCGATTCTGCTCGAACAACAAAAATAGTGTATATTACAAGTAAACGTATTTAATGCTGAGGGTAGTTGAAAAGGATGGCGCTTTTCTGAGTGGTAATTGTGTCACAGAAGATAGATATTCCAATTTTAGTATTCTACTTGAAAAAAGCACCACTGTAGTTGCACTAAAGTTTTCAATTGCTGCAGCGACACCAATTGCAGCGACATTGTAAAGCCGATTAAAGTCTTTATTCTAGATTATCACTTTATTAGCTAACCAAATCAGCATGCCATTTGCACAAAATAAATCTCAGGCAAAACTTGCAGGGAATACCTTTTGCGTAATATGAACTTCGCATACCGAATAATGCTTAATGCCGAATAACACTTACCTCAACCTTGATAATTCTGGATATCACAAAAACTTCATCCAATATATAATAATGCTGTTTATTATACGACGCACTATACTGTCGCAATTCAATTATTTCGTTCGATTAAATTCGTCTGAATTATAAAGCTCGAGTACAACTGTACAAGTGCTGCATTCTGAATAAGTGATATAGAATTCAATTTACAAAACAGACAGTATCTTATGAACTACTATTAAAGTACAAAATACAAAACAAGTGTAACTCCAATGATCGATAAATTTTTATATTTTTATCTACGTTTCGACTATATTTCAGTCATCATCATTATAAGTACAACTAACATGTATATCATACCAGGGCCTTTTTTAACATACAAGCTGGGGGGGGGGGG